AAAAGGAAAGGCAGTCGCAAGACAAATCACATCATAGAATGAACGTGGTTCGATCACACCGCAAAGTCTATTATCTCAGAAAGCCCTAGGTCTAGTGCCTTTGTGCGCTTCTGTGCCTTGGGGATGGCAGGAGGTAGGCGGCCGTCGACAACAGCCTTCCTCAGTGGTGCAACTGATTACGGCAGGAACAGAAGATGGGCTGCCTGCCTCAACATGACAATAGAATTGGTACACGGCACAATATTGGAGTCGCCAAGGCCAATACCACCAACATCACAAGCGTACGCCCGTCAAGAGAGGGGGAACACGCCGAGGACGAGGAATGGAGTGGCATCGAAGTCGGGCATCTGACTCTCCCCAAGGGCACCGGCGGCCGGAGTGCAATCCGCCTTCACGCCATTGGTCAATACGCTCCCCTGCCGCAAGCCCACGAGAAGGGAGAGCTGGGTACCCATTCACACAGATTCGGACTCGCATTAAGCTTTTCCCAGGACTATCATCTCATGGATTCATCATCGAAAACGGTGCTGCTTTCGCTCCGTTCGCCATTGCAATACGTCGGTGCTGTTCTGCGTTGTCCCGTTCTCTTGGTTAATCACCAGACACATTGGGCTCTACTTTCTTGGTCTAGTTCCTGGCTTCTTTCCCTTTTGGGTCTCGAGCGGCATCCTAGCCCTGACGCCCCTACAGTCAATAGTCTGGAGTTCCGCAGAATGGGCTCGATACGATGCCTGCCTCGCCAATGGGAGCTGCTCTGATGCAATAAGGCACCACGCTGAGCCAAGGAGGAAATCATAGCGCCGTCCGATCACCAATCGCCAATCGCCAATCCGCAACCGCAGAAAGTCTAGGACTGTATTGTGAGGCAGGTTTGCATCTGTGACGCGAGAACGGTACTGTCCTCTCCCCCTATAGTTGGGAGGAAACCTACGGTGGATGAACTAACTATCTTACTCGCCAGTTACTGCGCGTTGTGGTGTGCAGTGTTACCCTCCACTAACGGTACATAAACAGATCTCTACGGTACAGAACCACCACGCGGGCCCTTTCCATACCCAGTAGTCCCCTCGCTCGAGCTACTTTCACCATGCGCCCAACAATACCAACCCAGCTTATGACCCAGCTTATGAGATCAGCTGGCTCTATCGAAAAGGACGCTCCATTGACGACGTCTGACAGTCCTCCTTTCTATTGATGTTGCCTCTGGATAACAGCAGGCTGTCCAACAGTATCGACGCTGTACTCGCTGCCCTTGCATCATCCACGATGCGCCTCGTCTCGCATGCCTGGACCCTCCACAGCCACCTGGCGATTACCACGCCATGGTGTTGGCTCGATCCAGCTGTTGACTCCACGACTTTTGCGATCTGAGTGGGGCGGGCACCGGGTCTTTTCCGCACGGCGACGCACGATGCATCGAGGGGGGCATGGGTAGTCGTGGAGTCACAACACCACTGGGAGAGCGGGCTGCGGGCTGAGATTGATGGGTCGTTAGGTCGAGAGACCCCTGACCTGGATCAGGAACCGTGTCCCCCACCCGCTCATCGAAACGAGTAACTCTTTGCGAACGGCAACACTTGCCAGAGGCGCGCCCTTGGCGGCCCAGAGAAAGAAGCTGCCCAGAGGCTCCACCAGCGCCAAAGCTAAATTTCCCGCTAGCCCGCGTCCAACTATCTCTGCCGTTGCGTGAGCCCAGAATACAGTAGTGCCCTGCTGTCAATCGCCTGGTCCCGATTCTGAGCCTTCCCGCTCGCTCGTCCCCACCAAGCTAACTCTTGCTAACAGGGCACACTGTAGGGATGCTCGCCTGTAACGTCCTTCTGTCGACACACCCCTCTCCCTTGGCCTCTCGCCATCCACCATTACTCGTTATCTGCAGATGGCGCTACCATCTGCTCGGGTCCCTCGTCGGTCCTGGCCGCCCTACTCAATTCGCCTAGGCTATGCCTCCTGACAAGATTACTCCCCTCACCGGAATGTGGCTTTCCGCTACCTGCCACGCGGCCAGGTCTGGCGACAGCTCCTACGAGGAGGCGTTCTCTTCTTTTTCAGACCTAGACGTCGCTCCATCGCCTCGCTTGGCAGGGCTGCGAATTTGCTGTCGCCAGACTCGTGAAGCAACCGGGATGTAGCGTGGAAAGTTCGCCAGCCGCCCGAAACAAAACACGCGCACCAGGGCCGAAATGGGACATCGAAAGCAATAGTGATTTATCTACTCTTAGGAGCTGCCCACCCAAGTACACCTACGTTATACCTTTTCATGCTCACCGCTCCCTCGGCGAGAGGAAACAAACCGGCAGGCAGCATCCGCCCTCAGCCTCGGGTTTCACGCTCTTAGAGTAATAGCCCGCAGACTAGTATAACACCACTGATCCGTTGCCTCGCGAGCCAACCTGCTTCATCCCACGATGCGGCAAGACAGAGACTTCCACATGCCGCGACGAGTGATCCCTGGACCTCATCCATCTCCGTGCTTCTCCGCCGTCATGTGTGCGGGCATGTGTGCACACGCCCGCATGCTGCTCCCAAAGGTACGCACTCCCCCATTCCTGCCCAACTTGCCACCCTGGGCCAGGTGAATACGAGCTGCGCGCCAAATCATCCACAGCAACGGACGATCACAGACCCGATCGCACATCGCATCTGGATATTTGTTTTGTCGTTGCTGCCGCCTGCTGCAAGATCTCTCGGGCGAAAAAAGAAAAGTGATCGATCAGATCTGAATGTGACGGGTATTGACCCGTCCGGCCGATCACTGGAGGGTGCCCCCCTGTCAGGGACTCCCCTATCGAGGATCTACCCGCTTCGTCCCATGGTCCAGGCTCTACAGGTCTTGACGCTTCAACCCCCAATTCAGCTCAGTAGGTGCGTGTGCTCAGAAACCGGTAGCATCCGTGCTTGGCACGCAATCAACGGCATCCTCATGTTCCGAGACCTTGTTGCAGAACGGCAGGTGGGTGTTGACTCTGTTATTCTGTTGTATGTGTTCCATCTGAACGGCTAGGGAACCCCTGTGGCTAGTCAAGTCTAAGACTTTGCCAAAGAGCACGCGCGAACCCAAACCGTTCGCTCATTCATTCGTACCTAGTTCTATTGTGGTGGAACACGAGGACCCTACATGCACATGGTCGAACTAACAAGTTGTAGTCCATCTCTTTCCTGGCCAGTTCCAGCTCCCTCCCATGACGAAAAGACACCGCCATGTGTGCATACAACGCTG